TGCGCCAACTTTCCCCCACCGAAGATCTTGGCGTCTTCGATGGCGGTGAGTGCGACACGCAGGCGCGCCTTCGTGCCCTCGGTCGCCGCATCCTCATTCCCATGCCGCAACTTGCCGAGCTGCGCGCAATTGACACCTGGCACGCAACGCATCATACACATCCTCGCCCCCTCCCACCCCCCCCCCCCCCAGCCAACAACCGCTGCAAGACAATGCGACCCTGTCGGCGAGCAAAGCTCGAATTGTTGGGTCTATGCAACGAATTACAAAAACGAAACCTTGGGTTCGCTTTTCACGACCACATTGTAGCCGTCGAGGACCTCGCTCATCTTCAGCATGATGACATCATCAGACGAACCACGTACGTGGACCGTCTGATCATCGATGGCAGTGATCACGTAGCTGGTCACCTCCGTATCCTCTACGCTTGTCGACGGCGGCGATGGTTGCGCCAACCACGAAACCCTTGGCCTGAAAGGTCAGCGGGCCGACGTCGCCACCGCCAGATAATGACACGTGCGCCATCCCCAAAGCCTTGCTGGGGGGCGCAAGCTTGGCCTTCTTCGGCGCACGGGCATCGACCTCATCGTCGCCGGCGCCTGTCTCGATGTCGAGCCGCGGCAACGGCACGTTGCGCACATGCAGCTCGTCGGCGTTCATGGCCTCCCAGAAGTCGGCCACCACGTCGACCATAGAGGTGTACTGTTTGCGCCCTTCGCACGTCTTGCCCAACACCTGGGCTTACTGCGCGCGCGCGTGCGCAAGCGAGCATCGCTCGTCATCGGTCGCTTCCTGGCGAGCATCGTTCTCGCCCCCGCCCACCGCTTCCCAGCGAGCATCGCTCGTCGCCCCCCGCCCCAGTACCATCATGACCAGGCGGATGTCGAGCTGCGACAGGTGCTTAAGCCTGACGAGCTCGCTGGTGTGCGTGTAGGCCGTCGTGAACTGCCTGCGCGCATGCATGATGTTGGCCGCTCGCACGGCCTTGCTCCTGTTCTTGCCGCCAGGGGACATGGACTTGTAGTCAGATGTGCTCAAGAGCGTGCTCTCGCCGCCTGGCGTCGCCCACTTAGGGGGCGACGCCAGTTGCGCCTCGATCACCGCCAATATCCACAGCGGGCCCTCCGCGAACTGCAGCTGGCTGAGCGCCTGGAGGACTGTCAGCCGCGATGGTGCGCTTTGTGCTGAGGGGCCGCTCGAACTGCTCGAGGACGTCGAGCATGGCCCCCTCTTTCCCACCACTCCACGCTCTGACGAAAGCGATGTCCGCACTGTCCCGCCATGGCGGTGATGAGTCAGTCGTGCAAGGCACGCAGTTTCCTCCCCCCCCGCCCCCCCACCCCCCACACGCACGCCCCTGTCGCACTCGTGCCTGCCATCCTGTGCCCTCGTCCCGAGGCGGCGAGTGCGCTCGCCGCGGGCGGTGGCGATCGTGGTGTGAGCCGATTGTCTAGCACGGCAGCTCCCTTTCGAACTCGCTCGGCATGCCGAGCGCCGCGGCGCGCTCCACCTTGGCCCAGTCGTCGGCGGTGTCGAGGCTCGTCTGCGCGCGAGCGATGAGCCACGCCTTTTTCACTCGCTGCGCCGTCGTGGCAACGCGTGCCGCGCCGTGGCCCGCGTTGCCAGACTGCGCCAGGAGCTTCATGAGCTCGGGGCACCGCGTCACCAACAACGAGCTGATGACGCTGTACCGCAAGCCGCGCTAGAGTGGCTCTTTGAACGACGGCTGTCGCTCACATATGCGAGCCGTCGAGATGCGGCCAGACGCGCCCGAGATGTCCGCGTTCATGGACCGCGCCGCGCCGTGGATGCAGCGCAGCGTGGCCGTGGTGTGCGAGCATCGCACCGTGGCGATCTGAAGCTCGCTGGGACCCTCGATGAGGGGCAGCCGGGGGTCCGACCCCACCGCCAACTTCACGTTGAAGTCGCGGATCGTGGTGTCGCCGTTAGGGATCCGCTAACCCGCTGTGAGCAGGTTTGCACGCTTGCCGATCCGATCTTGCGAGATGACGCTTGCAATAGCGCGCAAGCCACGAATGTCTCGCTTGCGCCAATCTTGCTGCACGAAGCACGGACGCGCGTCTTGACAGCAATGGGGGACTGGCGCAAGCCGAATGGCTCTCGCACGCGAGCGCCTTCGACGTCTCGTCGTCGTCCCAGCCCTTCACCACCAGGATGCCGAGGAGGTCGCGCGCGTCGTATGGGACGAGGCCCGCGCCGTCCCTGTCAGGGTGCACGGCCGCCTTCGTCGCGTGGACGTGCTTCGACTCGCAGAGGTCGAGGGCCTTGATTGCGCTCAGGATCCGAACCTGGAACGCACTGACGCCCTCGACCTCGTTGCCGAGGTAAAGCGACTCGATCTGCTCGTTGATGAGCGGCGCCAGCGCGATGGCGCGCTCCTCCTTCGAGCGCTTGGACCTCGCGCCAGCTACACTGGCCTTAGTTACACATGTGCGCGTCGCGTGACACTCGGGAGCAAAGCTCGCCATTGGGCAACGTTTGCATTATGCGAGCATGCTCGCCAACATTGCAACGCCACGACAACATACCGCGTCACGCGAGCAAAGCCCACCGCGGATTATGCGAGCATGCTCGCCAACATTGCAACGCCACAACAACATACCGCGTCACGCGAGCAAAGCTCACCGCGGAAACTAAGGCGGATACCTCCCACGCGGCCTTGACTGCGTCGTTCGACAGCGCCATAGCGATCGCGACGCGACTGCTACAGCTCGGGCAAGGGCGGCAAGGGCGGCAAAGGCTGCGGCACTCGGACCAACACGGCTACAAAATAACAGAACACAGAAAACTGAAAACTGCAGTAGGAAGAAATACAAACGAAACAGAAAACAGAAACCGAAATTGGGGAAACAAACTCTGTTTACAAATACAAAACACATACTGCTGAAATCGGGAAAAAACGAAACATGAAAAGTGTATTGGCGATGCTGTAATTTAGATTATGAGAGTTATCGAATGGTTTGCTGCATGTTGAGGCCGGATAGTTATAGGAGAGTTTATGGATAGTTCCGCAAACGATTCATAAACTATCCTATGACTATTCTACAACTATTCATAAACTATTCATAATCTGTTCGATATCTATTCTGAGATAGTTTGAGGTGGGTCTCAAAGTGGACCCCAGCGGCCTCGCCCGGCGCCGGGAACGGGCCCGCCTCCTCGGGCGGGAAGGCCGCCGCTGCCGCAGGTGCGGCGGGAGCCGCGGGCACAGCGGGCTGCAGCCACCAGCGCGCCAGGTACAGGAGAATGGCGTTGCTTGCGAGCGGGAGGCCGAAACCGGAGCCAAGGCGCATCCGGGCGGAGGCATCACCCTCCAGAAAAAGACATGAGCCGACGCGGTCGCGGCGAAGACGCGTGACCACGACGGCCTTCGGTTCCACTGAAGATGAGATGTGCAAACACGGCCATCCTCGTCATCATCATCACCATCATCATCACCATCACCATCACCATCACCATCACCATCACCATCACCATCATCATCATCATCATCATCATCATCATCATCATCATCATCACCATCATCATCATCATCATCATCATCATCATCATCATCATCATCATGGCCGTCACATCACCATCATCGTCATCATCATCACCATCATCGCCATCAGCTTCGGCACCACCCTTATACGTTTCGTGGCCCCACAAAGAGCTCCACCGAAGGTCCCATTGGAGCGGCCCGCATGCGTCTCCCTCACCCAGTACAGCGCTTCGTGGCCCCATAGGAGGAGCTCCAGCTAAGGTCCCAGTGGCGCAGTTCGAATGCGTCTCCCACACCCACTACAACACTTCGTGGCCCCACAGGGAGCTCCACCCAAGGTTCTAGTGGCGCAATTCGCATACGTCTCCCCCGCCCAGTACGGCGCTTCGTGGCCCCATACGGAGCTCCATCGAAGGTCCTAGTGGCGCAACTCGCATGCGTCTCCCCCGCCCCCCCGCCCAATACAAACGTTGCGTGGCCCCAAAGGAGGAGCTCCAGCTAAGGTCCCAGTGGCGCAGTTCGAATGCGTCTCCCACACCCACTACAAGGTTTCGTGGGCCCAGAGGGAGCTTCACCGAAGGTCCCAGTGGCGCAGTTCGCATGCGCCCCCGCCGCCCAGTACAGAGTCTTCGTGGCCTCAGAGGGAGGTCCAGCCCCATAGGGAGCGCCATCGAAGACGAAATCCACCATTGCGGCACTCACAACTGCGCATGGTTGGGTCCTTCGCCAAGCTAATTGCTATGTGTTTTCTGTATTTCTCTTCCCCCCCACCGCAGCGAGAGGCCTTGGGAATCTCGGGGTGGCCCTGGAACGCCCCAGAAGCAGCTGGTAATACTCCTGCTGCAGTGGCTGCAACATGTACGACTGCTACCACTAAAATTGTGCCAGGTGACTACAACTACTGCTACTGCTATGATGAAATCAGATAGCTCGACGCAGTCTCCAAGAGAGGCTCCCAAAACGGCCCCAACAGGGGCCCAGAGAGCGCGCCACCGCCTCGCCGCTGGAAATCAACCCTTCCATCATGATCCCAAGACCTCCAAAAGGCCCCCGACTGGCCACAAGACGCGCCCAACCGGCTCCAAAATGCCTCAGAAGACTTCCGAGAACCCTCACGATTGCCCAAACCATGTTCACAAGACCTTTACGCGGCCCGCTCACAGGTGGCGACACTCGAATGGAAGCCGCGACTGCCCCTTCTTTGCCCCCGTCGCCCTTCCGCCTCTTGCGCCCAAACTGTTCTCTTCTCAGGGTCGGCGGGACCGGTCGAAAGGCCTTGGCAACAGTAGCGTGTCAGAACTAGTAGCTGTACGTTAACCGTTGCTGGTACTTTCGCTGACATAACTCGTGTTACACTTGCTATATCTGCAATGGAGCCTCGGCCACAAGCACAGCCCCAGCGACGTAACTAACAAGACTGGCAGCTGGCTGCTCACATTACGGTGCTCCTTAGGACCTTCCTGAAAGCGTTTCGGCTCACGCTATCTCAATGGCTGTCGTGGCAACCGCAGGCTTCTTGGAACCATACCGAGACCGTCGTCGAGCGATGTTGATGCTTCAGGAAGGCATGCTGCTGTAACTGTCGATCCATCTTTTCTGCTGGGTACTTGCCGAAACTGAGAAACACTGGGAACATCTCCCACATCGGCGACTCGCTGAAACATGCGACCAGTAGCTAACCGAAAACTGCCTTGCAGGGCGCATGCCGAATCTGCAAATCGTGGAACACATCGGCTGCCACCAGAGTTTGTAAATCGTCGCCAACCCTCCCCCATCCCCAATCAGACCCCCCCCGATGAACTGGCTTCTCCACCAACGTCTCCCCGAATCCGTTGGCTCGGGCGGATGCTTCGCCTCCGCACGCTCACGTCTCGTTCTCGGCCTCGGTGTCCTCGATGATCTCCGTCGCGTTGGCGCGGGCCTCTCTCTCGTCCACGCCCCCTCCCTGCATCGCTTCGAGCTGCTGCTCGAAATGATGTCGCTGGAGCCCCGTGTTCGCGATCGCCTCCCTCACCCGCGTGCGCAGCGTCTCCAGCTGCGAGGGCTCGAGGCTCCTGAACGTCACATGCACAACGACGCCGCTAATGGAGGAACGAACAACGGCATACACACGAGCTTGCGGAGCTCCGCGCGGAGTGCTTGGATCAGAGCTGGACCCCCCTCCCTGGCGCTCGGGGAGGCGCCAGAGGCGCCGCCATGGGGGACCAGGCGCCGACCCAAGAAATCCGCGCGGAGCTCCGAGATTGTTATGCTCATCGCTTTTCTGCTCCTCGAGCTGGTACCCTCGCCCAGGGCCTGCAGCTTCATCTTCTCGTCTCTGTGGTCGCGCTTGTTGAAGCGCAGCACCTGCGGCATCGTTATCGCCGCGTGGCCGAGCGCCGCGCCGCCCGGGGCGCGGCGGAGGACCACCTGAACGACAAAAACACACGGGCCCTACGCGAGAAGACATGGCGGCCTCACGCCGCGGCTTCCGCGGGCCGCTGGCGTGGCTCGCTCTATCTTGACGGCGCGCAGAAGGGGGGGCTAGGGGGAGTGGGGGAGGGTTCTTGGACGGAGGCTGCTCCTTAGAAGGCGCGGGCCTTACGTGTACAGACAAGGCCCGCGCCTTCTGAGAAGCAGCCTCTTTCAAAGCACCCTTCCCCCCTCCCCCTAGCCCCCCCTGCGCGTGACTGACTATCAGAAACAAGGGCGATCACGCGCGACCTTCCGCGGGCAGCTTCCGCGCGAATGTCCGCGCGGTCGAGGCCGCTGTTCTTCCGCCGCTCACCTGGATGTGCCCCTTCTTCGAGAACTTGACTGGCAGGAAGAGGGGCTCCTCCCACTGCACGGTCTGGCTGCCCGACTCGTTCCGGGTGCGGGCCGAGGCCAGCGGCGTCCGCTCGAGCAACGCCCCCACGTCGCCGCGCGGGTCTGCGTCCAGGCAGCGGAGCTCCACGTACCAGGCCCCCGCGTCGGCCGCTGGGGCCGGTAGATTCGTGGCGCCCTCCACGCTGCACCACAGCACGAGGCTCCTGCCCTCTATGTTGGATCCCCCCGCCGGGCTCTGGCCGCCCTGCTTGCGGCGGGTGCAGCACACGGCGCTCACCTCCTGCCCGGCAACGAGCACGGCCTCGCTCGAGCTCACCCTTGCGCCTGTCAAGAAGAACATATTCGCCACGGTCATGGCAACTACCCCGGTGAACATTCTGAGGGCCTTCGCGCGGGCGTCAGGAACCGTGTACTCGTACACCTGGGAGAAGAGCCGAATGCACTCTGGCACCGCGTCCGTCGCGTAGCTGGCGTCCTCCCCGTGGATGTCATAAGCGCACGGGACGATGTACGGCCGGTCTGACGGCAGGAGGGTGCCATCACCCATCGGCGGAAGGAAATAGAGCACGTACGCGAAGCCCGACGCGAACGCCGCGGCGTGTGCGAAGAGTCCAGCGGCATCCTTCTGGGACAGTCCACGGATGAACTCCATTGCGATGTGAAAGGCGACGAAGATGAGCCGCAGATACACCCAATCCTGGAAACTGCGCTGCACGGTGGTTGTCTGGTCCAGCTCCGCGCCAGCGTAGAGGCCATACAGCGCGACGATCGCACCAGACAAGCCAAAGCCCAGTGCGGATGCCCCCGTGGTCACACCCTTGAAGTTGAACCACGTGAAAGTCATAGACCCGACGGCGGCGCTGATTATTGCGACGCAGAGCGTGTGGTAGGAGCCCATGCCGATACTCGGGTAGCACATGAAATTCTGCTTCGCGCCAACGCCGCACTTCAAGTTGGAGCCGTCACCGAGGACGATGGCTGGGGTCCCCTCCACGTCGAGTGCATCGAACAGCGTGAGCATGTTGTGGAATAGGTCGAGGAACTGCAAGTGGAAGAAGGTGAACGTGAAGAATCGCCAGACCTCTCCGCGCTTCAACGCCGGGCCGAACACGGGCGCAACGCGCGTCCAGGGGATCGCCCCGCCGGTGAACTCCTCCGCCCTGCGCAGCAGCAGGCACCCCACGAAGACTACCATGTAGCCGAAGACCACTGGGCAATCGCTCATCACCATCTTCCAGTCCATGAACATCCACAAGATCGGAGGGCAGTTGATCCCGTACGGCGGCCACCACGACATGCTGGTACCCTTCACCTTCTCCGCCAGCGCGCTGACGCGGAAGTTGTGCTCCTGGCCAGCCTCAGCGCATGCCCAGCAGCGCCGCCCCTGCGCCGTGTGCAGCTCCAATTTCCTATCCGCTGCCCGCTTGCACTCGCATGGAGTCGTGGTGCAGCTGCCGGGCGACGTCGCGCAGTAGAGTGCCACGGGCTCGGCGGTCCACATGACGCCATCGCCTGGGCGCCAGACCACCGAGCAGGTGCTCGCGATGCGCGCTGGCACCGCCACGGCGTCCGCAGACTCCCCGCTGCGCACCCCGAGCACGCGGAGGGAGGCGTCGGGGGCGAGGCGGTGGCAGGCGTCGAGCTTTTTCAGTGTCATGTCCAGCTGCTCTTCGGGAGGCGCCGCGCGGACCAAGGCCTGCGGGATCACGCTCGTGTCCCAACGCCGGCTCATCACGACGCAGCCGTACCACAGGCCGTCGCTTTGAGCAGAGCACCCGTCCTCCGTGAGGCCCGGATCCTCGTCGGCAGCGATGTCGATGCGTGGCGTTAGGCCCTGTCGCACTATCGCCGCGAGGCCCTTGCGGACCTCGTCGTCCCACGGGATGCCATCCTGGCACCAGCAGATGCGCATGTCGTAGTGGCCCGGGGCGCCTAATGCCTCGGCGGAGCACTGCATCTCGCCGTCGGAATTCACCTCGCGCACGGCGTCCCCGAGGGCCGTGCTGAAGATCAGCGTGCCCACACAATGGCACGTGGCACCGCTGACGGCGCAGGGCCGCACCAACGCGCCCAGGATGCTGCCGGTGGGGGTCCTCGACCGACCCGCGTCTGCCAGGGACGGCGGCTCGGTCCCCATGGTCTCGAGAGTCACCTCCGCTCCCTCCATCCTGCATCCTGCCCCCTCGCTCCTGAATTGCTTCGCCCCATGGCAAGCTCGGGTATCAGATCTGGGTGCGCCCTCGTCCCTGGAGGGGTGGCAGTCGGAACAAGAGTTACCCCCCTTTGGCTCTCTGGGCGAAAGCTTTCAGTAGAACCGCGACCGACCCTGCTTCCCTCGCCCCAGTGTTTGGCACGCCCGAAAAGGGAGCGAAAAAAGGGGACGATGTCCAACAGCAAATGTCACTCCCAAGCCGACATCGGCCGCTGTTTGGCAGGCGACCTTCGTGCCGAGTGGACAACGCCCGCGGCCACGCCGACAAGCGAATCCTGTCCAGGATGGACAGGAATTGCTGTCGGTCTCCGTTCTCTGACAGCGGACGCAGCAGCGACGCAACAGCCGACCGGACCGAGCCGACCGAAGGCAACCAAGCGCACGCAACCGAACCGACCGAACCGCGGACACCCTTGGTGGTCCTCGTCGTCTGGTTTTCGTATCATGCCTCGGGTCTCAGGCGGCCGTCCGGGACGATCGGGGCACCCCCCGAAAGCTATCGGCGGGCGCGGGCACGCCATGCGGACCCTGCCGCTGGGGCATCTGGTGAAGCCCCCCTATGGGGTCACAAAACGTGTGAGGGGTGTGCTGGCTCGGGTGCGAATACGCCATGCGGACCCTGCCGCTTGGGCTTTCGGTGGAGCTCCCTGTGGGGCCACGAAACGTGTGAGGGGTGTGCCGTAACGAGTGTGGGTACGCCATGCGGACCCTGCCGCTGAAGCCTTCGGTGGAGCTCCCTTCGGGGCTATGAAACGTGTGAGGGGTGTGCCGAATTGGGTACGGGTACGCCATGCGGACCTTGCCACTGGGGCTTGATGTGGGGCTCCCGATGTGACCCCGAAACGTGTGAGGTGTGTCGCTCGTGTGTGTGTGTGTGTGCCGCCTGGGCGCGGAGGTCTTCCAGGAGGAGGACTACTGGCCACTTTGCGACAGCGTGCTCGACGTGCACGGCGTTCACTGCTCGGTCTGCACCTGCGGCGGGGACAAGAGCGCGGCTCATCACGCAGCACGTAACCAGACGTAGTTCTTCGTCGCCGCCGCGGGATGTCGGCCAGACCTGGAAAGGGGCCACTTCCTCCCGCCGCGGCCAGACGATGAGGCTGGCTTGGGTTGCTCCGCCCAGCAAGCGTGTTCCCGCCTTCCTGGCGCGGCTGGTTTCCGGCAGCTCCGGACCTGGTCATCACATCGCCGCAACGGCAGGCTGCCCTACAGCAGGCGAGCAAAGTCGCCGGGTCGGCAGCGCGGCTCAACGAAGACCGCAAGCGGTCCTACCTGAACACGGAGGCCTTGTGCTCCCAGCAGGGAATCGCCTTCGTGCCAATGGTCGCCGAACGGTCCGGAGGCTGGGGCGCCTCGGGCCTGCAAGTTCTGAAGCAGCTCGCACGCAAAGCTCAGGCCAGACATGGCAAAGCGGCGAGCCTGCACATGCAAGAATACTTGGAATGCTTGAGCGTCGCCTTTCGGCGGGCCAACGCCCAGGCGGTGCTAAAGCGCGCCCCCGGGCACCGCGACCGCCGCCGCTGGGGCTGCTGAAACTGCAGGGTCTTTGTTCAACCAATAGTTTCACTTGTTGTCTCCCTCCTCCTCCGCCTGCCTGCGCAGCGTGATTTTCGTCTCGTCGAGAGGGAAGCCGGCGTTTTTCCTGATGCGCTGTCGCTCGGGCGCACCTCTCGGCCCGACGTCTTTCTTGCCTTGGCCTCTGCCCTCGGCTCCTCCCCCGCTCTCGGCTCCCCTCCTCTCCTCTTCCTTGCTCCCCCTCTTTGCCTTTCCCTTGCCCTTGTGTTTGCTTTCCCCGTGTCGTTGCGCTCTCTCTCTCTCCCTTTCTCCCCCTTTTTGGTTCCCCCTCTCCTCCCCACCGTCCCTCCGTCTGTCGGCCCGGTATGTCTTTTCCCGTCGTCCTCCCTCCCTCTCCCCCTCCCTTTCTCGTTCCTCGGTTCCTCGCTTTCCTGCCCGTTTCTGTCCCTTGCCTGGCCCGCTTTTCTTAGTCAGCCCGTCCCTTGGTTCGTATAAGAGTCGCGATGCCCGCACTGCCACGCAGGCGAATCGTCGAGCGTGCGTGTGTCTGGTTGGGCGTGGCTGCGTGCTTCGGGCTCGTCGTGCTCCCGGGGTTCAGTTGCTGACAGGAGCATGCCCTCCTTCCCTCTTTGATGATCGCTCTTCTTCGTCATCTAGCTCTACGAATTGAGAAGGCTCGGACACGCAGTGTTGTCCTGAAGCTGGCGTAGTAGGTAGTAGAGGGAGGAGGAATTATAATTATAATTCTATCTACGGCGGGGGTCCTGCTCTAGGCAGACCGCACATTCACATTCATGCCCGATCAGGGGACGTGGTGCCCGACTTTGGTGGCAGCCCCCTGGACAGGCGCGACAGCACCTCGCGCCCCGCCTTCGAGGGGCATGGCCCTCGCGCGGGGTCTCCGCACTCTCCTTTCAGGATGCGGGGAGGAGCAACAGTGCAAAATCCTCCACAGACCGTGCAGAACAAAACTCCACGCTGCACCGCAAGTCGGTGGGAGGGGTGACAACGGTCGGCCAGCGGGTGACCCAGGGCACCCCCGCACAAGTCCGACGGCCCCAAGAAATCAGGGGCGGGGTCAGCGCCAGAGTCACCCCTCTCCACCCGCGGCGCAAGCAGCTGAACGCGCTGCTGGATGATGCAACGGGACTTGCACGGCGTGGGCCAGAAGCTCGAAAGCTGGCCTTTCAGGCCATAGCTCAGCCCACACTGCCTGCACTTGATGCATGCCTTATGCACAGAGGGATCGTGGCCAGCATCTCTCAACCTACGAACTCGTTCGGACAGAGAGGAGACTACCCCGCGAGATCGCCGCGGCTCGCGGAGCCCACCCCTCTCACGTTCCGAGGAGAACAACACTTCACGCTGGACGGCCAGGATTTTTTTTTAACCTGAACGGCGAGCTCATCAGCTCGCACTATATGAGAAACATGGTTATCGCTCAACTGGGCCTTCTCGGCAGCCCAATCAGCAATGCGGTCAGCCGCTTTGTTTACATGCACTTCTACATCAGACAAAAACATGTTTTTCGGCCTGGGCTTGGGTGGGGTGCCCTTTGGCCCAGATCACTCGGAGCGAACCCTTTCGTTCGGAAAGCGCACGGCGCAATTCAGCACATAGGTCCAGCATGCTTGATGTCCTCTTAGCCCGTAAGCTTTTCCTCGCACCCTTCACGACTACCAGACAGTCACAATAAACTCGAACGTCTCCGACACTAGCGCGCATCAGCTCGATCAAAGCATAGAGCTCGGCCCTCGGGGAAGACTGACGCGCGCGCGGCAAAGATCCACAGCGAACCGCGTCTATCCTGCCGTCGGGGCCGAGGTGCACGAAGGGCCATCCACATCGCCGTAACCCCCAATCCTTCGAATATTTGCCTCCAGACCCATCAACGCCCCAAACGCCCTCACGCATGAGCTCCCCCTTAACGCACCGACCCCGATCCCAGACCAAACGCTGAGGAAGGGGAAGGTGCCCTAAGGAATCGCCCAACGACGGGAGCCCTCGACATCAAAAACTCAGCCCGCCGTTTTCAGCGATGGCCCTGGGAGCCAGGGGGTCGGCATTTTCAATCGTGTGGTCAGGGATATCACGATTGCACGCGCACTGCCAGTGCCGATGCAGCGGGGGCTCCGGGGCCTCTCCACACCTACCACAGAGCCCATTACTAGCAGAAACGCACCCAGCAGCGTGCAATCGCTCTTCAAGCCAAAACGCGGCAATGAGCACGTTGCGCACTATGCCCGCTGACTCGTGCTCGCCGCCTCGAGCAAGCTTGGCCAAACATCGACGCACTGGGGTAAAATCTACTCCCCTCTCCAGGCCCGCGCCGCAGAAATGTTTCGAGGCTCGGCCCCGGGACGCGGCAGAACACGTTCTCAAAAGGGCCCCCCAAAGCTGGAAAGGGAAATCGCCATCATTCAATCTTTAAACCGAATCTTCGGTGCGCCAGTACACTGGTGACTCAGCCTGCCAGCCAAGGTCGCGGAGCACAGCTATAGTGGCCGCCATCGGCCCTCGAACTGTCTGCCAACGGTACTCGGTCTGATCCATCTTGGTAGATACCTTCATCCAAGCATCAGCACACAACCTGCGATATTCATGATCAGGATCAGCCCAAGACAAAGCCCAAACACTGAGCTGCTCATAGCGAAGCCTAAACTGGGGGTCATCCTTCGCAGCCCCCAATAAGCCTAGCAAGGCAGTGGTGCAAGCCCCTGGGGCCCACAACCCAGAGCACGTGGCGGCCTGATCACGCATGGACTTCGCGTGGACTTAACCTGCCCAAGAGAAAGCCCCAAAACCTCATGGCCCCACGACCCCACGGCCATGACCCCCGGTTTGTACAGCTTGCTCGCTCGGCCGACAAGCCGAGCAAGAAAGCGCACCTTCTTGCTCTTGCGATAGGCGGTAGCACGCCGCTGTCGCAACTTACTCATATTTCGGCGGAGACCTGCAGGAGACATGACCCCCAGATCTCGGACCGAGTCTCTCCACTGAACTGGAAGGTTGACTGAAGCGAACACCTGCGCGATCTCGGCTCCGAGCTATTTGTGGGAGACCAAAAGCGCACTTTTATTTGCAATGGCAGCGCCGGCGGCCTCCCGCTCGTGGCACAAGTGCAACGCGGCAGGCGCGAACGCGGCGAGGACCTCCTCGCTGGAACCCTGCTGCGCCTGAATGATATCGTCAACGTGTCCCTTGATGCGGACAGGCAAGAAGGAGGCTTGCGCCTGGTCCAGTAGATCATACAAATAAATCTTAACCCACGGCATGGATTGGCCACAGCCAGGCAACATGCCCATTCCAATGGGAATGAGGTCAGAACAGAACCCCTGGACCTCGAGGGCACGAGGAGCTTCATGCAACACAGTCCCCACATACAGGAGGAACAGGGGGTGCCTCATTGTCACGGCGAGTCCAGC